GTATTTCTTCCTCACAAAGGATATAACATGGTCTTTCTGCATATATAACATTTGCACATGGTCTGAGAAACTGACAGTACTGTAAAGGTATTTTCATAGAATTTTCTTATAGATCATATGGTTTAAAGGGAAGAACTACCCTTTAAAACACTTGTACCATATTTTTTTATATTTTACTACCTTAGGTATAGATAATAGCATAAATTTTTGAAAGCTGCTTGCCTTCAATTACTGGATGCATCATTATACATGTACCCCAAAGAGAGAAAATAGTATCAGTTACAAATATAAAATGCCATCAATTTTAACCCATTTTTTTAACCCACTGAGCCACCCAGGTGCCCCTAAAATGCCATCAGTTTTAGAAATGTTAAAATATGAGAGAAAATGGGCATCTTAGAATTAATGAAATGTGGCATTAATGTACCTCATTTTATGGTTATCACCCAAATTCCTCAAAATAACTAACCTCCCAACATGAAGTGAAATTTTATCCTGCTTTACCTTAGAGCTTTCTGAATTCTAAAATTCTGCTTTACTTCAGAGCTCTTTAAGTAGCATAGCACAGAAATTAAGAGCATGTAACCAGACTGCTATTTAATAGCTTTGTGAATTTAAGCAGTTAGCATCTTTGTCTCAACATTCTCATCTTTGAAATGGAAATGGTAATAGTACTTACCTTGAAAGAGTTTGTTTTATAAGAATGAAATGAGTTATATTTACATTTAGAGTTGTGCTTTATACATAAAATAAATGTTTTGTGTAAATGTTGGTTGATTAAGGACAATATTATTTCTGATTTAGGATATATAAGTAAATGATGTGTTTAAAAGGGAGGGACAAGGGGCCTTATCAAATGGGTCCTTGGTATTTTGGGCACCCAGTGAAGATTATTTTGTTGATTTGTCTTTTTTTTTTTTCCTGTGTCTTTTAACTAATGTGAGATTTCAGTCTTGACAACTTTGATAACAAAGTTGCATTTTTATTTTTATGAAAATAATACTCTATAAAGATTCAGCTGAAATTTGCTTTTCTTTCATCTGTATTATGATACAGTTAGAATTTGACATACTATGACGGATGTCTTGAAAATAGCTTGTGATATACTTATGATTCCTGTTAACCTCATAAGGAATTCATTCAGATATTTTTAAAGAGTTTCAAATTAAAGAACAATGGTTTTTTTTTTTTTTTTTTTAAGATTTTATTTATTTACCCGACAGAAATTACAAGTAGGCAGAGAGGCAGGCAGAGAGAGAGAAGGAAGCAGGCTCCCCGCTGAGCAGAGGGCCTGATGCGGGGCTCAATTCCAGGACCCTGGGATCATGACCTGAGCCGAAGGCAGAGGCTTAACCCACTGAGCCACCCAGGCGCCCCTAAAGAACAATGTTTTAATTTTAGTTTAAAACATCCTACTTTGACATTGTGAAATACATGGGGGAAAATAATGAGGCAGTTTTTGTTTATTTTGATGGTATATTTTATGTGTTCATAATTTTGTTGGTTCATTGGAGATTTAAAAATATTGTCATATGCTTTAATAGTAAAAGTAGATTAAGACCTTCCTTTGTACTTCCGAATTTTTTCCTCATTCTCACTTTTGCTTTGTTTTCATTTTTTCTGTTCTATTTTGAGCTCACTTCATTCATTTATTCCATAAGTGATTATTGACCCAACTACTAAAGATCAGGTTCTGTGTTTACACTGATGTATTGGAAATAGCCCTTGACCTGAAAGCCTCATTATTTGGGATATAATACTGTCTAGTCATTGAGTGCTTAAGCACAGGGCTGCAAATTGTATATGCACTCTTTGTTTTAATCCTTATAACTAGCCTGCTAGGGCAGGTTATTACTTGTCAAGTGTTTCTTCTAAATGATTGGCAGAAGAGTGAACTCTTTGCTGATGGAAGGAAGGTGAAAGTCTGAATGGTCAAGGTCATGGTGGAGGGGAGAGCTTTAGTGGTAAAATTTTTTTTCAAAAATTTTTAGTGTTTTCTTCTGGAAAGGATTTGGCTCTTGCATTCTATAACCTTAATACAACCTTCTTTGTTTTCATATAAAAATGGTTTTAAATTAGCATGAGAGAAGATTCAAAAAAGTGTTCTCTCCCAATTTTAGACTGGAAGGAGCATGGCACTGGGAACAGGATTTTATTACAGACATCTAGGCATCAAGCTGCTTAATTATTTATTAAATTTTTTTTAGATAAAATTTTTATTGACATTTAATATTTAAAGACATGCATACTACATCATATAGCATATACACCCTTGTGTCTGGCTTCTTACACAAAACATTTCTATTTTTTCTTACTTATTTATTTGTTTACTTATTTATTTTTGAGAGAGAGAAAGTGTGGGTGTATGTGCAGGGGATGGTGGGGAGAGGGAGAGAGAATCTTAAGTAGGCCTCACGCCCAGTGGGAAGCCAGATGCAGGACTCAGTCCCACTGCCCTGAGATCATGACCTGAACCAAAATCAAGAGTCAGATGCTTAACCAACTGAGCCACCCAGGTGCCCCCCAAAACATTTATTTTTATATGATCCATTCATGTAGTGTGCAGCAGCAGCTTATTCATTCTCACTGTTCTGTAGTATTGTTTCACTGTTTAGCTATATACCATAAATTACCCACTCTACTGTTAATGAACATTTAGGTTGTTTCCAGTTTTTAGCTACAGCGAATAGTGCTCCAGTAGAATATTCTTGTGTATGTAGTATACATTTTTGTAGTATATGTTCCTTGTAGTGCAACTGTTGGGTCATGGTATGTGCTTGTATTCAGTTTTAGTATGTATTACTCAGTGTTTTCCAAAGTGGTTGTATCAGTTTATACTTTCATCAGTAGTGAATGAGAATTCCATTTGTCCCACAGACTCTGCAACATTTGCTTGATATTGTCTCATTTATTTAGCCATTCTGGTGGGTGTAAAGTGGTACTGCATTGTGGATAGGCTAGGTTTTCAAAATAAACTTGATTTCCTTCCCTGCTAATACCCACATACCCTCCCACATGTGCACCAAGGAAAAGTGGAATAGAGACATGTTTATTTTCACAAAACCCATCAGATGATTCTGGGTGCATTGTCAGTTGATAAGATGCAGGAAGATAAAGCAAATTTAAGTATAGTTTAGGGAAAATGAGCAAAATGAGCATGTCATGAAAATGATAGTTTCATTGTATAGTTCACTGACTTTCTGACAGATGGCGCATTTCTGCCTAACTGTTGCTAAACGTGGGAAGGTTTTAAGATTTTGCAAGCTGGTGAAAAGTTTTGTAGGCTAGTTTATTGAGTGTGTCTGTGACATTGGCTCAAAGCTTTCATTACACAATGCTGGAATGCACTTGCTCTTAACTTGATTTCTACCCAGACTGCAAGTTGTGTAGGTTCATTTCTTTTGTGAAGTTTTGCTACCTCTTAAATAAGGGAAACAACGTCTATACAGCAGGATTTACTCAGTTTTCAGATCTTGAATGTTGAGAAGATTTTACCATATGCCCACAGCATGCTGTGTGCTGTTTTATATTTAATTTCTTGTTATATATGGAGTTTTTTCTTGTGTCAACAGAAGGTTGTGTTGCTAATATATTTTTTGTCATCAGATTGTGTAGTGAAAACCAGGGAATGTAAAAAATGTTCCTACCTGTGAATCCTATTCAGTGTTAGGATTAGGATTGTGGTTATTCCTTATTCTTCAGTGAATGTAGACCTTAGAATTGATGTAGGGAAGTGCCATTCCTTTACCTTCTATTCTTAATTAGTTGTTGACTTCTGCTATTAAAACACACATATGAATTCATAACTGCAGGTAAGATAGTTTTACCTTTTTAACATTCTCATATGCCTTTTCATAGCTAATATTTTTATGTCTGACTTCATTTCTTACTTCTGCAAAATACCGTTCCTGGGTAGAGCAGCTGTTTGATAAATACTTGTATTTATATGTCTACATCATTATACCCTGCATGTACATCACCATTAAAATGACTTTATTTTTCTTAAAAATATTTTCTTGAAGAAGAACATTTCACATAGCTGTTTAGTTTACAGGAATAAAAGAAGGAAAAAAACAGAAAAAAGGGAAAGAGAAAGAAGTAAAGCAAAATGATCCATGAAGAACAATGTGTTAGGAGATCCTAAATTTTAAGCCAGTCTTGTCTGAAGTGATGTAGCACATCGTCGAACTGAACTTAATAAAAGAATGTTATTGCCATCCACCTACCAGCCCTACCTCTCTCATAAGGAAATGCTTTGCAAAATAAACTGAATCGTTTTAATACCTCATGGAAATACTTTAAAGGACATGAATGCCATCTCAGCTCTTCTCATGAGCTAATAATTCCAAGATTCTTATGACTAGCAATAATCAGTAACAATTTAAGAATATGTAGAGTACAAGTATTTATCAAACAGTTGCTCTACCCAGGAATGGTATTTTGCAGAAGAAATGAAGTCAGACATAAAAATATTAGCTATGAAAAGGCATATGAGAATGTTAAAAAGGTAAAACTATCTTACCTGCAGTTATGAATTCATATGTGTGTTTTAATAGCAGAAGTCAACAACTAATTAAGAATAAAAGGTACAGGAGTGGCACTTCCCTACATCAATTCTAAGGTCTACATTCTACATATAGACTACTGCCCTTTATCCTAAAGCATACTATTTTGCCAGTTTTTTCCCAGAGATTTTAATAACTGAAAGGTCCAGTAAGTGTAGTTTCTCTTATCTTTTTCGAGGATGATGGTTTATCCTGCTTTTATTTAAGATAGTACTAATTTTAATTTACGTCTTGTGTCCCAGCATCCTGGTCTTATTCATTTGTAATGTTTAATTTTTAATAAAATACTATTAATAGTTGAATTAAAATAAGCCTAGGTTGGTTTGGTAGATTTTTACTTCCAGCTGCTGCCACGGTCTAGTGTAGTGGTATGTGAGATACTTGTAGTAATGAGTTCTGTCTTTAACAGGTGGTAAAATCTGGAATCTACTAAGTATACCTCTCTTTTTCTAACCCTTCTAAGATACAGTGCAACCAACACCTTCCTTTAATAACAGTATCAGCATGGGGATTTCTACAATTAGAAGTGGGCTGGGATGCAAATGACTAGGAGCAACAAACTCCTTTTGGTCTCAGGTGATGGTAAGAGATAGGTGTGATGCCACTGCCCTTATTGACTGCTTTAGGAACCATTTCTTCCGTGTCGGGTGCTATAGCTTGAAGTCACGAGGAGGGCAATAGATAGTGGGAAATTACAGGTCATGTGAGCCAATATAGTGACTGAGTAGTCCTACAATGGAGTGTGTAGAGCAGCAGTATTTAATAAAGCTTTGTGCAATGGTGGCAGTATTCTATAATCTCCACTTTCCATTTTGGTAGCCACTAGCTGCTTGTGTCTATAGAACACTTAAAATTAGCCTAGTGCAACTGAGGAGCTGAACTTCTAATTTAACTTAATTTAATTTGTTTTATTATTTGGTAAGATTTATTTTGCAACAAACCCTTTTGACAATGGTTAAAAATAGAAATATGTACTTAATGAAAGCATCCACTTAAGAAATTACTCTTCTGCTTATAAAGATTTTTTACATACTCAGAAACCTAAATAAAGGAGCAGACCTTGGGTGGTTAGGTTGATGAGGAGTAGAGGGTTTACAGAATGGTTGTAGTAGAAGAGAAAGGGAATGAAATGTGAAGCATGCTTGCCAGAGAGTGTTTTAAGTGAGGCATTGTGGGTTTTGAGTTTGATAAAGAAGGAAATGAGCCCAGAATGGGCATAATGACTTAAGAATGGAGAGGGCTCAATGAAGTATTGTGAATAAGTATTGGGGGATTAAATTTGTGACAGATGGGAATAAGTTCTCTTATGAAAATGATATACCGAGGGTTAACTTTCATAGTTGGCTTAAGCTATTTTAGGTAATAAGTTCCAAGTCAGGATCTTTGAAAAAGATTGCTAAAATTTCAAGTGGGTGAGATCATTCAGGAAGGTGAAGGAGTTCTGATGCTGGTAGACTGGAAATCAACAGGAGTGCAGTCATCCAGTGTGATGGCAGGAACTGCGAAGAAGACATGGAGACAAGTGTTGAAGTCTTCCACTGTAAAGGAGCCTATCTGGAAGAAAGGTGAGAAGATGAAAGAAGGGAGAAGAGGGTGAGAGAATATAACACTGGAGTCATGCAGTTCTCATACAGTTTTGGCAGAAGATTAGAAAAGTGGTCTGGAAGCAACTCTGGTTGGAAGCAAAAGTGGTTGGAAGAGGGGCACCTGGGTGACTCAGTTGGGTAAGTGGCTGCCTGCCTTTGGCTCAGGTCATGATCCCAGGGTCCTGGGATCAAGCCCCACATCAGGCTCCCTGCTCAGCAGAGAGCCTGCTTCTCCCTTTCCCTCTGCCTGCTGCCTGTTTGTGCACTCGCTATCTCTCTGTCAAATAAAATCTTAAATTAAAAAAAAAAAAAAAAGTGGTTGGAAGAACTGTACTTCCAACTCCCTTTTTCTAGATTCTTTGCAGGTATAAGGAAAGGACCTTATTTTAGTAATTCTGTTTTATCTGCTTTAGTTAGGTATTTATTTCTCTGACCTTATATTTGTTTCTCCAGTGCCTGACCTATTTAGATACTTAATAATGTTTGTTCAGTAAATGCTAGATGAATGTGAAATTGTTCCAGTGTGCTGGAGTTCTAGAACAAAGAGCATTGCTTAGACACTTTCAGAAAATGATTTGAGGGCGCCTGGGTGGCTCAGTTGTTAAGCGTCTGCCTTTGGCTCCAGTCATGATCTCAGGGTCCTGGGATGGAGGCCCACATCCAGCTCCCTGCTTGGCAGTGGAAAGCCTGCTTCTCCCTCTCCCACTCCCCCTGCTTGTGTTCCTCTCTCTCTCTGTGTCAAATAAATAAATAAAAAACCTTAAAAAAACTGATTTGAAAACTAGTAAAAGGAACTGTTACTTTTACACAATTACCCCAATTTAATTAGATATGTTTGTATTTGAAAGGGTAATACCAGAAGTAAATTATGTAACTTTACATAAATCAATGGATGGTAGTTTCTTAATGGGTTATTAAGGGTAGTTAAAATATTTGGGGGACCGTTCTTGATTTTTAAAGGTTGACAAGAGGACATTGCAAAATTGATATATGTCTTTCAGATCTTTAGACAATAAAATTCTAATCTCTGACAATACGTTACTGTGTTGTTTTTGTTATTGGAACATTAAACTCCTGGAGAAAGGAATTGTAGCAGATTGATTAACTTTGCACAAGACAGGTAAAGAAGTCTTCACTTATTTAAGGTAAAAATTTTTGATCCTCGCTAAATGAGCAGGAGGAGAAGTATGAAAGCAAAACATTCCATTATGACTTTGTAAACAAGCAAAACACAACTGGGGGCAAAAACTTTAATAAAACAAAGTTGAGGGGAAAGTAGGAAAAGGGAAATACAGCTTTTATTTTAGGTACATGTTTTAGGACTTAGGTAAATTTGAAAAATGTCTAGGGTTAATGTTAGTGGATCCAGAACTGGCAACTAATGGCAGAAACTACTGTAAGTACTTTTCTGACCTTCTCTCCTTCAGTACTAAAATCTTCCTGGGTGAGTAATTACTCCCTTTCTGAAGATGAGAATGCTAAGGGTCAGAAAAGGAAAGTAACTTGTTCAAAGGTTGTAAGTCCTAATTTTTTTTTAAATTTGCATTGTTTTATATACAGGTCTTTCAGTTATATTTCAGCAAGTTTTAACAAATGTATTCACCTGTGTAACAACAGCCCAGTCAAGATATTGGTCATTTTCATTACTCCAGAAAGTTCCTTTGAATGTTACATAATTCCTAAGAGATATTTGGACATCAGTCTTAACTTTTTCCCTCTATGCCTCCACATTACTTGCATTAAAAGGGAACTGAAACTGTTAGAAATAGCGATGTGAAAGCAACAGAGTTAATAGTTGATATAATATTTATTGGAGAGCCAAGTGATAAAGGTTGAAAAAACAAAAATAGAATCTGAAAATACACATTTAGGGAAGTTTCACTCTGCTCTTCTTAATAGTTCCTGAAATTATTACTGTTTTGTAAACTACTACTATCTTTGAGTTTCATATTGATATTCATACACATTAAACTAATTTATTGAGTGCTTTCTATGTACCAGACACTATCCTAGGTGTTTTCTATACATTCCCACTCAACACAGCAGTCATTTGAGGTAATTACCATTTATTATTTCATTTGTTGAGGTATTACCATTTATTATTATTATTATTACTACTGTTATACAAACAAGAAAACTGAGGCTGAGAGCCCTGACACAGTTTTAGGATTTGAACTTAAGTCTAATATCAGAAACCAAATTTTTAACCCTGATGGTACTCCCTGGATCATTCTGTAGTACTAAATTATATTTGGTACTTTGCTTTTTAGGAGGCAATAAATTATACGCTGCCTAGGAAATATATAATACTTTTCAAGTAACTAACTTCAGATCCAGTCAGTATGTCTTTGCTTACTATCTGCTGCCTTGTATATGAGGCAATGGTTACATAAATGTGAAAGTATAGTACTTAACACATTTGGTTAATTAGAAAAATTATATTATCAACTAAAACTCTTGGATATAATTTTTGACTAATAGGGGTTTTTTGTTGTTTCTTCACTCTATGACCTTAGAGCGCATTGCTTCTGTGTTTCAGTTTCCCTAACTATAAAATAGAAGTAAGTATTTCACAGGATTGTTTAGATGGTCCCATGAGATAATACATGTAAGAGTCAAGTTCTAAAGTGTAAAGTAAAATCTTACAGGTAATTGTACTAATAACTACAATAGATTTGATTAATTATTTGAGAGAGAGAGCGCAAGCACAAGCAGGGGGAGAACCAGAGGGAGAGGGAGAAGCAGGCTTCCCACTGAGCAGGGAACTTGACATGCGGCACCATCCCAGCACCCTGGGATGATGACCTGAGCCAAGGGCAGACGCTTAACCCACTAAGCCACCTACACACCCCTAACTTTGATTAATTTTGTGCAAGAGGCATTGGTTATAAAAGTACTTGAGTGGCTAGGGTATAATTCATTTTACTGAAAAAAATGGTATGGGGGGCACCTGGGTGGCTCAGTGGGTTAAAGCCTCTGCCTTCAGCTCAGGTCATGATCCCAGGGTCCTGGGATCAAGCCCCACATCGGGCTTTCTTCTCAGCAGGGAGCCTGCTTCCTCCTCTCTCTCTCTCTCTCTGCCTGCCTCTCTGCCTCCTTGTGATCTCTATCAAATAAATAAACATTAAAAAAAATGGTATGGGGTTATAGATTGGTTAGTAAAAGTTTTACAAAAGAGGTGGCACTTAAGATGGGCAGATTAAAAGGTGTTGGTACTTAAGGGTTAAGACTAAATTATCTTTGTTAATTAAGATAATTTACTACTCTGAGTTGGGTAAAAGAGTGTGGTATGGTACTGTAACTAACAATGCTTAAAATAAATAAATTAACTTTAAATTTTTTAAATTGTATCAGAAGTTTATAACATTGTATATAGTGCCATGCTGTCACACATGTTTTAAATAAATTATGCACTGGTAATTTCTGATTGTCTTGTTAGGACCTTTAAGCCACTGCTAAAATTTTCAAAATTTAGGCTAATATCTAGGTAAATTTGCTTTTAGAGACTATAGTGAACTCAGAGGTACTGCTTTGGTATTAAGAGTATCTGGATGATCTTGTTCCCTTAATCATGTTTGTGCTGCTCAAAAATATTACGGGGGCACCTGGGTGGCTCAGTTAGTTAAGGGTCTTGACTTTCGATCTCGGCTCAGGTCTTGATCTCAGGATCATGATGGGTTCAAGCTCTGTGTTGGGCTCCACACCCCTACTTTAAAAAGAAAAAAAAAAACACACACACACACACACATTTGGGTAACAACATTTAGTTTTAGTTTTCTGAAATTTTTACCAAAAAAGGCATGATTAAGTTTTTACTTTGTTCTCTTAAGCACATTTGAAATTACAGATTTTCCCTGGGAGACCTATAAGATCTAGTTCAAATGATGAGGTCAGGGGCTGTCTGTCATCCTTCCTTGTTTCCACAGGCTCTAAGTGTACGTTCTCCAGTGGGTTAGTGCATAAGAGAGAATGACTAAAGGAAGGAAGGAATGATTTAAAAAAAAAAAGATATTTTGTAATTTGGCCATATTGAATGAGTAGTCTCCTGACTGCTGGTCTCACCCCTTTTTAGTTTACCACAGTTTATATATTACTACAATTTAATATCTTACCTTATGAGATTATTAACCATACTTAAAAAAACTATCATGTTAACTGAAGCTGATTTTTGAAAACTCCAGTACCATCTTTATGAGATTTCTAGAAATAATCTCCTTTTAAAAAGTGAAATATTTATTTGTAGATAGACTTCTGTTTTTCTTATTGTGCCTTGTATATGATGTATCACATAAGTAATAAGAAAACAATTGAACTTGCAGCAACTAACAGGAAATACAATTGTAGTTGTTTGCAAATGGTTTTTTAAAAGTGGCTTCCAAAGAGCCAGAGTGTCCTTATTATTTTATGCTGTAGGAAAAGCAGTCAGGTTCTGAAATGATCTATAGTTGATTTTTTTTTAAAAGACATACATTGCAGTTTGAGAAATACCATTATTTGATGATACCAAGTAAGTCTTAGTCTTAATGTAGGATATGAGACTTAATAATTCTTGCCTCAAACCCTTTGTGTAGCTAAAAGCTCAGTGCTGTGTAAAAGGGCATGTGGCCTGAAATCTAAAATGGCTGGGAATAGAATCCAGATCTCTCAACACATGGTCCTCAGAGGTTCCCCACCCACCCACCCATTTTTACCATTCTTTTTTTTTTTTTTTAATTTCTTTCTTTATTTGAAAGAGAGAGAAATCACAAGTAGGCAGAGAGCTAGGCAGAGAGAGAAGGGAAAGCAGGCTCGCCACTGAGCAGAGAGCCCGATGTGGGGCTCGATCCCAGTACCCTGGGATCATGACCTGAGCCGAAGGCAGAGGCTTTAACCCACTGAGCCACCCAGGCGCCCCCATTTTTACCATTCTTAAGGAAAATGACATACCTATCTCTAGAAATGCTGTTAAATGACTTCTTACTTCTAGTCTTTTCTTTGAA